GATTCGAGATCCGAGATTCGAGATACGCGATTCGAGATTCGAGATTCCAGATCCGAGATCCGAGATTTGTGATTCGAGATCCGAGATCCGAAATCGGAGATCCGAGATTCGAGATTCGAGATCCGAGATTCCAGATCCGAGATCTGAGATTCGAGATCCAAGATCCGAGATTCGAGATCCGAGATTCGGGGTCCGAGATTCGAGATTCGAGATTTCTGCGCGCTAGAGAATCTTTAGTGGTTGTTGAAAAATGTTGCTTGGGAGAACATTGGTCATTAGAATGGTTGGTTGCATGAGCCTTCAGGAGAAGCAATCAGAAGGTTGGGTGAGCAGATTGAGGCAGCTGAGGGGTGGTGGTGAGAATAATCAAGATGAAATCATAAAGACACCAGCATCCAAAAAAATGAAAACACCAGCGCCAGCTGGAATGATTTCATGCAGATGGTATGTGAAAAGGGTGAGGCAAAAGATCAATTTCACTATAGTAGGAAGATCTTGGATACTATTGTAATTGACACGAAAGTATTTCAGCAACATAATATAATAGTTTATCAATAAACCATATTTATAGTGTTCTGGGCGCACATGGCTTGATTAATAGGGGAAGCTTTCTGCCAAGAACACAACTATTAGAGGGAGTCCAATGTGGAATTTAGGTGTTCAGTTAGTTTAGTGTTGGGGGTCGAGATGGGCTTGATATGGCTTGATTAATTGCCCAAGGTTACTTGGTCCTATGTTAACATGTTGCCAAAGGGAGCCGTCTGTCATTCTCAACGCAAAAGGTTGGTATTGGTAGGGGGTAGCACAAATTTTATATACAGTATACCATATATCAATGAGAAGTAAAATGATCTTGTAATTAATGACAAATATCCCGATTATTTTCCTTAAAGAGTGGTTCGAGTCCTCCAACCATGTAAGTAAGATTCTGCACTTCTCTTGGAGATGTGCGGAACGATTTCTCCTTGTTGGACGGGATCGTATTCCATGGCATTGGCTGCGAATTGATGCGATTTCTCCCTGGTTCCTGCCAAATCAGATTGATTGATTGAAGGTAGGCTTTCACGGATCGCCAAGGCTTTGTTCATGAAAATTCCAGCTTCTTCCCGTTTCCCCAGGCTTTGCAAAACTTGGGCTAGCTGCTCACAAGTCTCAGCAGTCGCAGGGTGAGAATATCCACATGAGCGCTCACGAGCACGGAGAGCCTTGCGCAAATACAACGCGGATGCTTTTGTGCTGCCGCTTTGCTGCTTCAGAAGACCAAAGCGATGCATCGATTCTCCAAACTCGGCACTACTAGTTCCAAAGAGCTCCTCTCGGATGCATACTGAACGGTCAAGCCAGAACTTGGATTGATTCAGATCCCGAAGTTTCATGTACACATCGGCCAAGGTCTGCATTGATGTGGCCAAGCGTGCAGCAAAGCATCCTCTTGTATCAACACCAATCTCTTCAATGCAAACCTCAGAATCTTCACCATCATCGCGAAGCTCTTTTTCAGTCTCAGCTGTCTCAGTGGATTTTGGTCTCTTTCCAAAGCTTGGCATTTTCGCAACGGATCGGATTTTGGCCATGAAGCCGATGGATTTTCTTTTCTCTTCCGGTTCCTCATCGGACGTTTCGATGGGCTTTCCCTTTCGGCTGCGCTTGGCCTGGATCCGCCTGCTCCTTTCGGAGGGCTTTTGGACCAAAGCTGCAGAATCTTCGTCAGAATCCTCCAACCTCTCCGCAACATCATTGGAGTTCAATTGTTTGAAAACCTTGAGAGCTTGAAGCAAAGGAGCCAAGGATGCATCCAGCTTTCCTTGGCGGATCATGACCAGGCCAATCTGTTGTAATGTGTCAGCAGGCAAGGCATGATTCTGTCCAAAAAGCTTCTCCCTCTGTTTGTACGCTAACTTGAGGAGCTTGAAGGCTTTATCTAGCTCGCTATGGTTGGCACAAGCCACACCTAGTGCAGCTTTGCTGGCTGCAACTTGTGCACTGTTTCTTCCAACAAGCCGCTCACGGAGGCTCAATGCAGCTTGTAAATACAGAATTGCTTCTGATGCCTGGCCAAGATGCAAATGGACTTGGCCAAGCTGGTGCAAAGAAGCGGAATAATCCAAGTTTCGTTTTCCCAGCTTCTCCGCTCGAATGGCTGCTGCCTGAGAAAGGTAGGCAAGGGCCTGCTGGAGGCTTTGGGCAGTCTTTCGGCGCATGATTGCAGAACCAAGCTCATGCAATGTGTCAGCTAAATGCACACTGTCCTCCCCAAGTTGTTCTTTTCGAATGCTTGCCGCCTTCCCAAGTAGAACTATGGCTTCTTCTTGCCGACGCGGCATGCGGGCATAAAGCGAGCCAAGTGCATGTGCAGAAGATGCAACTGTTGGGTTTTCACGGCCAAATGCCGTTCGTGTCTGCAAAGCTTTCTCAAAGTTCCTCCGAGCAACCTTGAACTTGCCGGAAGCGAAGCAAACATTACCCAACAATTGAGCAGTGACAGCAACTTCCTCAGACTCAAGGCCATAGTTTTCTTTTCGGATATTCAAGCATTGCTCCAGTTGTTCGGCAGCTTGATCCAAGAGCTCTTTTGAATCCCGGCTCTCTCGTGCAGTGCGCAAATAAATCAGACTTGTGTGAAAAAGCTGGGTGGCCACCGCTGCTGACTTGAATCCAAAGAGTTCCTCTGCTGCGGCCATTGCAACATTAATGGCCTCCAGTGCCTCCTTGTTCTTGCCAGATCTGGAGCATACACTGGCATACACATTCAGTGTTGAAAAGAGGTCCGGGTCAACGGCATCAAGGATCCGCCTCTTGTACTGTAGAGATGCAATGAGATGCTCTCGCGCACGTTCCAAGTCTTCACACTTGTCATGAATCTCTGCAATAATCTCATGACTTCTGGCAATATGCAGTTCCAGCTGATTCCGGGCACCAACATCGCACAACAAGCTGTCCAGTTCAGGCATGCTACTGAGAATTTCTTGCTGGCGAAGCAGGCGCTCTTTGAATGCACAAAGCGCGAAATTGTAGTTTGCCTTCATGGGATTATCCTGCTTCTTGTGGTCCGTACTTTGATTCTCGTTGGCAATGCTGGCCTTCACCAGAAAGCAATACCCTGTCAAATGCAATATGTTTAGGACGTCATCGTGCAAATGACCTTGTATCGCCTCTCTTTTTTCAAGGGCAACACTGAGATATTGCAACGCGGAATCTGTATCTTCCAAATGTATATACGCCACCGCTATGTTCGTTGTGATAGCTAAAGAAGTGTCAGACTCAGTCGTGCTGTTAGGCAAGTTCCGTCTGACAATACCTGCTGCTTCTCTGAACTTCTGGAGGGAGGACGTTGCATCCCCACTTTGCAAGGAGCAACACCCTAAATTCGACAGTACGACTCCTTTTTGAACCGGTTCTTGGTCCATGTTGTTAAGCCGATTTCTCTTTGCTTTTAAGGTTGATGTAAGCTCTGGCAAAGATACCTTGCCATCGTTTGAAACACTATCCAGCATGGAGAAAACCCGATCAGGATCGCCAGGGTAATTCAAATGTTGCAAAGCTTCGACAAATTTCCGGCGACCAAGCGCAGAACGCCACTCACCTTGAACTAAGTCTGTATACAACATATCTTCGTTTCCCCCATATTTGTCATTCACGAACGACTTCAGCACTGCAAGCTCTGCAGCTGCGGGTTTCTTCTTTTCCGATGTCAACTCAAGGGCTTGTTCGAAGTATCCACCAGCAGTACTGTAGTCACCCAAAAGGTACATTTGAACTCCCAAGTTGTTTGCATTTTCTGCTTCGAACAAAGCTTTGCCAATGGTTGCTTTGTGCTTCTTGAATGCAGCAATGACTGCATCATCATTGGGATCCAAGGTGCCGGACTTCCGCAAGTTGAGCAACTTTTCATCACCGATCTCTTGCACTGTAGGATCTGCAGACAGGCCCAAGTTCTCTGCGACGTCTGTAACATCAACACGTTTGCTACCAAGTGCCTGAGAGTGCTGACCATTCGTCTTGTGGCCGACCTGTACGTCGCGCAGCCTACTTGACAAGCCATTTCGGCGGCCAGACTCTGCCAAGTTCTTCCCTCCCACTTTGGAGATCAACTCGTTTGTCCTGCGACTCTGAGTGCCTTTGGCTGACAGGGGCCCCCGGGCTGAGAGGGGTCCTCTGGCAGACAGGGGTGCACTTATGAATCGCGAAAAGCCCCATTGTCTGCGCGATCTTGCTGATTCACCATCCTGGGTCCTCCCATCGGACTCCGCCGGCATTTGGTGTCAGGATCATTGCAGCTTCAACTGGATGAGAAAAACACAGTTGCATGCATACAAAGTCCTTTCATTCAGTTTGGCTACTGCACATGTAAACAACCTACTGGCCAACTCGAATGATCAATGTGTAAACCGTACCTCAACACCAATCTTGCATTTCAATGGGGTTCAAAGGTGATACTGTGGCACTTGCATGTGTGCATGTGAAAACCTGCGCAAGGGTCTCATCAGCCAACACTATTGTGTCAGCCGGCTATCTTGATCCAGGTGCCACACATGCACAGCAACCTGCAAGCAACAACAGCGTACACATGGAAGCGTGCTTTATCCACCTAGGCTGGCAACACCCATGCCGCTGGACATTCTTTTTCTCGGATCTCATTAGACTTCTGCTTGGCATGGACTTACCGGGCAGGGTGCCAACATTTCATGCAACCCGAATCCCGAGACACTTAGTCCGTGCGGAGCAACGAAATAACAGAATTAGATAGGTGGCTCATCCTTGAAGAAGCGAAAGCTCAAAACTGCAAACTGACATGGCCAATGTACCTTATAGAAAAACTGAGCAACATTGATACTGCCACCTGCTAGCTCTATGTGAACAACGAGCCCTTCCTATCCGAGGGAGGGCCGGGCATTTCTCAACTCTGTGGCTTGTGGCTGGCCCCTGTAGTTTTTGAAGACGCTGAATTTAACAGCATCACCCTGGCCAAAGTGCCGCTTCTGGTTCACATGCAGGAACACATCCATGCCATTGAATCGTTGTTTAAGCTCTTCGTTGCCAATGAAGCCATAGCCTTTGTCCTGTCGTAACTGCTTCAAATCTTGCACGTTGATTGTGGCGAGACAAGAACGAAGAATTTGACCTAGTATTCACCACTGACTTGATCGTTGTTCAAATCCCGAATGCACCACTAGATACAACTAGGTTCTCTACTTCCGTGCCTCGAGCCACATGGTGATGCGTCCTTCAAAACGCTGGTCGGTGACTCCAGGAATCTGCTCCATATCATGAGGCCTGTAGCTTGGATGGCTCATGTCATTGGACGAGCCGGGTGGCAAGCCATCATCTCCTTCCTTTTTGGCCTTTTTCTGTTTTTTTGACTTTTTTCCTTCTTTATCATCACCTTCTCCCAGCATTGAGCCCATCATGGCGCCCATCATCATCATCTGCATCTGCATTTGCATCTGAAGCATGACCTGTTGCTGCATCTCATCCCCTTCACCTTCCTTGCCCTTATCCGGCCCACCGCCACATGCATTGGGTCCACCCATGGGCCCAGGCAGGCCCATGCCACTGCCCATGCTCCCTCCCATGCCGCACCCCCCACAACCTCCGCCTAGGCCACCGCATCCTGCCGGCCCTCCACATGGTCCAAGCGCTTTTGGCAAAATCCCTCCATTCGCCCCACAAGGCATTGCGCCTTTGGCCTCAGTGGAGCCAATCCTAAACAAAGAACACAACACATACAGGACGCTACTAGGAACAAAGGGCATCGCTACTAGGAGCAAGGACGCTACTGGTAACAACACACACTAAAAAACCATACATCTGAGCTTGGCCTTTTCCATGAACTACTTTGATCGGCAGTCATTGGTCCACGACAGGCTTCAAAGACTGGTTTCTTAAAAGCCACACCCCCTTTCATTCACAGTGTTCTGCCGAGACACCTGAAATGGCATTCCCAAGGATCCTGGAAGGGGTCCTAAGGAAGCACCTTTTGCCACCGCGCCCATGCTACTTGGATTTGGAGCACTTCCTTTCATCATGTTACTTGCTTTGGCCATCGTCCCAGGAGCATTGGCTTTGGGAATTCCAGGCGCAACACTTCCATCTCCATCACCTGCTCATGGCCAGGAGAGGATGCTTCACTCCAAATGATGCTCTGGCCCATGCATAAACAAAGCGTACCCGACACAGAGAAGAAACCATTTGCTATCAACAAACATAACAAACCAAAAAACCTGGAGCCCACTATGACTGTGCCTAGAGCATCGAAAGCCTTGGGCTTCTTTTGCTCCTTCTCCTTGTGCTCTCCGCTCTGCTCCAATTCTTTGCCCTGTTCTCTCAAATGGGTTGCTAGGCGCTCTCGCGCCCACCTACGTGGGTCGACCAAAATGGCTTGCTTATTCTCATCCCCAACAACTTGAGGCAGCTTACTTCTGTCTTCCTCTTCTGACTTTCCATCTTCATGTACTTCTTTCACCCGAGGTTCCTTCCTTTCCTTTTCCTCTGGCCGATGGCTTGCTTCCAAAGCTTCTCGGCTTCGCTTCAACTCGGAAGTCCTTTTCTCCAAAGCCTAGCGCTTCCAACCGCAGAGACGAGTGCACAGCCCAGAAAACAAGTGAAACTCAAAACAGGGACATGCATCAAAAAAGGTGGCAAACATATTTATATATATAGATTGGAGGGCTCAACACAGGTTGCATTTGCAACATCTACCTCGATTTGCTGCAGCAACGTTGAACTGGTTCGTTCCAGCGTCAACTTCACATCGGAAGGTGCCGCAGACATTCCTGCAAGTTGCTCCAGTGACACCATCTAAAAGATTCCGAAACAAACCACATCACACAAATGATTCTTTTCATGACTTTGACCACACTCCGCGCACCTCAGTCAGCCAACAGTGACGTCACAGCCAGGCAGCTGTGGTCCCGCTACTCCCACCATCCGGTCAAATTTCCCTTCCTGCTTGAGGCCAATGATTCGCATATGTTTGACCTGAAATCCAGTCGTTTTTCTATGCCTATGCCTTACGCGCCTGCACGTATTCCAAGCACACGCACGTATAAAACACGAGTACAAAGGATATCCCCAAAAAAATGAATACGAATGATGCCCGAAGAGTGAATCACACAGCGGCCGGCACAAGCCTCCACAAATCACAAGCCAGAACAAATCCACAAAAATCAACCACAAACGGTTCGAAACACAATTCCCAAAAACAACGGTAGCAGCACAAAACTGTTGCACATCTCATTGCAATTACAATGCCACATCACAGTGTTCTTGCAAAATTTGCGCGTCGGCGAACGCTGTGCGAGAGCAATTCGTGGCCGGTGCCCTTTTGGCAACAATGCGATAAACAGCACAACTTCCAGCCCCTTTAAATCGTACATTTGTCGACTCCTTCTCTTTCAGGAACATTAACGGACACGTTTTCATGCTTGCAATTACGACCCGCGCATGCCACACCCGTCCTTTCACGAAAAGAAACCTTTAAAAAACAGGGCTCCTCCAGACCACAACCCTGCCACGCAAAGCCCCCACGACCCGAATCACAACCACACCGAAACCGGAAAATTTAGACTCACCAGCCTGGAACGACAAAGGTTAGCACGGGAATTTTGTTGTGTCCCCCCACAAAAAAAAAACGGGAAACCAAAGAAATGGAAGAAAGAAAATCCACGCGAGAAACGTTGCGCACCAAGGGATGGGAACCAAAAGCCGGAACACCAAACGGATCTACAATATACACTTTGTGATGCACATTACGATTGTCTTGGCTCAAAAGGTTGACAACACCGCACGACGCCTCGCTGGCAGCAATTACACAAGCACAACGTGCCACATCACAAACCACGAAATCACAAATTAATGCATAAGATCAGATTCTAACATGCCAGGGGGGGCGTCCAACGAGTGGAGTGGCAGAGAAGCACGGGTTTGGAGCGAAGAGTTCGGCCCTCACTAATTAGAGACATGAGCCAAGCGCCTGACACTAGAGACTAGGAGGTCCGAGTCCAAGCAACGGCGGTCGTCTGCCAACGGTTTTGGTGTGCTTGAACGATGATGTCCTGCAGCACTGAACGTGGCCCCCGTCACCCATAACGCCTCTTTCCCTGAAAGAGGCCGCGTGATGGCACGACGAATGCAAAGCCACGAACACACGCAAGGACCCCTTTGGGGAAGGTAGCGAACACGCACCCGTTGGTGCAAAGCACGAAGCAGGCGTCCGAGACGGGGTGAGGGATCAAAACACGAGATTAGCACAGCATCAATGTTAAAAATAATCGACGAGTCGTTTTGCTTCTGTGGTCATTTCATCCCCTGGTGCTTTGGTCCCCCTGGACCTCTTGTGCCCCAGGTTTTTGGTCCCACTAGTCCCCTGGTCCGCTGGCCTCGTGGTCCATTGATCAATATTATGTTGTTCACAAACACGTCTTTCTTTGTTTGAGTGCCCTTCATTGATGACGCAATGGGGTGTGCAGTTTTCAATGGTGATCTATATATTTTGTTGTACCTTTTGAACCCGATGGTTTTTGATGTTTGGTTCGCTTTCGAGGGGAGGCGATGCGCCCTCCCCCTCCAGCCACCTATTTTTGCCACTGCGCTTGGCCTGCTACAACACGTTTGCTAAAGGTCGCCCAGGCACCCATCGCTCACGAAGAATATTGCACGCACCCGCCTAGGTCGTTGTGATTTTATGCTGCAGCCGGTTGCAAGCATCCTTTGATTCCGTGTGGCGGATGGGCCCGTCATTGATTTGGCACAAAGGTGTGTGTGTGTGTAGTTTTCAATGGTGATGATGATATATGGTGGTT